CCGGGTTCCGTTCAGGAAGCGGTCCGGGATGAGGTCCCCAGCTGCTTCCCAGCCGGGGCAGCGCTTCCTCCAGCGCCCGGGCTCCTCCTCGCGCGCCGCCCGGAGCGCCTTTGTCCGGTCGGCTGGAGCTCTTCCCCGAAGGGCCTCTGGCGACGGTCCTTCGAGGACCGTTTCCGCGCTTCATCCGCTTCCCAACTTTGCACTTCATTCCCGAGTGTGGCGCGGCGGCTTGGGGAGAGGAGGCGGCGGGGCCGCGCGGTCAGCGGGTGGCGCCGGGAGGAGACAGGACTCACCTCTTGACCGCGCCCTGGCAGTCACCTGGGCACGCAGGTTTCCGAGGACCGCCGCCTGGGGAGGCGAGTAGCCTGCAGAAGCCAGAGCCACGCCTCCGACTCCGGTGGCCGCTCTGCCCCGGGCTGCCCTGGTGGTCAGGGGATCTTGGTCCGAGATCCAGCGGGGAGTCAACTTCGCTTTCGCCTGGATTTCACAGCACACGCCACGCGGAGGTTGAGTCATTTTAGGGGCCCAGAGTGGTGCGTTTGTTATGTGTGCGAAGATGAGGAGTGTCGGGGTCTTCGAATTTGTTCCCCAAACTCTTTTAACTTTATTATTATTATTATTATTATTATTATTATTATTATTATTATTATTATCTCAAACAGCACCCTCTGGTATCCATCACCCCACCCGGGATTCCTCCCAGGAATACCCGTCCCACGCAAATCCCTGTAATCTTGAGTGTACAATGAATTTTGGCCCTGCACGCTCTGTCTGCGTATTTGGTACTCCTTGGTTGACGCTGTGAACCTGTCTCAAAAGGCTGGTCCAAAATTTCCGGCTTCATCTGTGGTGCGGTGCTGTTAGGATGATGTTTTCCCAGGGACTTCCTGAGTCTGCTCAGGCGGGCCCTCTGCCTGTTGAGAGCTTGTAGGTCAGGTGCCAGGCTTGCTTCTCCTTTTCTGACCCGGAGACTTCAGCCTGTTCACCAGGGTACGTTTAGCTGCCTCTTGCTTCCTGACCTTTCAGGAGTGTCCTTCGACTTTGATCCATCTGCAACTGCTTTTGCTTTTGTGATTTTTGCACGTTCGGTAGCCCATCTGCTCGTGTTGTATTGCCGTCACCATCGGGGAGTAAGTGCGATTCTTGGTTAAAAAAATTACAGTTCCATTTTGACATTTAAGATCATTGGGAATTAAGTCCAGTGACCTGTTTTGAATTTTACTATATGAAAGAAATCCTGTCAGCCTCCACCAGTCACAGAGGGAAATCCGGAGTTAACCTGCAGTGTTTTTTTTTTGGGGGGGGGGTGATGAATGTCAGGAGTATTTTGCTACTTAGCAGTTAGAAAATTAGAGACCTCTGTTTTCAACTTTCTTATTCTTACAGGTGATATTCAATACTAGTCCCCTCCCCCCCCATGAACTTTTAAAACTAAAACCTTCACAGAGATGTGGCGGCAGTGATACTAGCTAGGCTGCAGAACTCTTTAAAAAAGTAGGCGTTTTTAAATGGCTAAGGCATTTTATTTATTCAGCAGATATTTTTATCCAACACCTATCATGTTCTGTGACGGTTGGGCAAGCTGCTAAGACTCGGGCAGTTTTTGTCTCCAAGAAGCTTCCGTTCTTACAGCTAAAGAGTGAAACTTCTTCAAGTGTATGTCCTAAGACAGATCCCCTTAGTGATTTTACTCTGAACCTTCTGTAATGGCTACAACGTTTAAACATTTTCAGAGGACTTCTTTATATCATTCCTTAAGAAAGTTGAGTTACCTGCATTACTAAAAAAGGAGCATATAAAAGAGGAAGCTGAATGCACGAGAGAGAAAATGTTTAAATGTTAAATATTTCTGATGTGTGGAGCAAAGGGGTTGGTGTTAACTTAATCTAAATGTCCATCAGAATCGGTTCTGTTTCTTGGTGTTTGGGACAGTGTCTCACAGTGTACTCCACCAGTCTGGTTTGTGACTTCCTAGCCCAGGCAGGCCTGGAACTCCCTGCCATGCTTTTGCCTCAGCAGAGTACTAGGATTCCAGGCGTCATGGAGTTCTCAAAAATCAAGTTCTTTAGCTTTGTTTGGTTCAATAATCTCAAGACTGAATGAGAGGAATTCTGGCTTCCTTCAGAATGAACCTATATGGCATACAGTCAGGCGGCACACAGTATATTTAGACAACTAACTGTTAACCTCTGTAGCCCAAAGGAACCACTCTCTCTCTCTCTCTCTCTCTCTCTCTCTCTCTCTCTCT